TGTTCACATCGAAAATAAAATGTAAAGAGCAGAGACAATCAATAATCTAGATAGGAAATGTATGGCTTGTACACTGGCAGAAAATTCTAACAAAGTAACCTTCAGAAATATGTGTCGTTTAAAAGCTGTTAATATGTGCAGCTTTTATATAGAAAAGCAGCTAAAAATGCTAAAAAAAAGAAAACGTTCTGTTACGAATAAAGATCAAGCACATTACTTAGCTATGTAGCTCTCCCTATCATGGTCTTAGAGACAATCAAAGGAAGGAAATATACATTTCCCACTGCTGAGATAACTGGTTTTTTGAGCCTAATTCAAAGGGGATTATTAGAAAGTTGGAAGGAGGGAATTCACTGGTTTAGCAGCATTTGTGAGAAGGACAGCTGTATCCGCAACTTGTCCTTGCAACAGAAAAGAAAACCGCAGCCGTGGACAGCTTACAGAAAACAATCACCAATAGATGACACAAATACAAGCCTACTTTGTATCCAGTTTTTAAAGTATTGCTCTTCTCTTGTTCTTTGCATATTTTAAAAGAGATGCTGTATATTTAAAATCCAGTCTATAAAAGTTATTAAAAGGGAATCTCAGATAATACACATGCCTCAGCCATCACACCAATTTGCAGGGTTTCACAGTGATATTCTATAGAATCATAGAAATGAGGTTGGAAGGGACCTCAGCAGGTCCCATCTAGGCCAGCACCCTGCTCAAAGCAGGACCAGCCTCACCTATGTCATCCCAGCCAAGGCTTTGTATAGCCGGGTCTTGAAAGCCTCCAAGGATGGAGGCTCGACTACCTCTCTGGGTGACCTGTTCAAGTGCTTTCCTACCCTCCTAGTGAGAGAGAATTTCCTAATATCCAACCTCAACTTCCCTTGTTGCAACTTGAACCGATTGCTCCTTGTTCTGCCATCTGCCCCCACTGAGAACAGCCCAGCTCCATCCTCTCTGGATCTACCCTGCAAGTATTTGAAGGCTGATGTCAAATCCCGCCTCAGTCTTCTCTTCTGCAGACTAAATCATCTCATTTCCCTCAGCCTGTCCTCACCAGTCACGTGCCTCAGCCCCCAAACTGTTTTTGCTGCCCTCCACTCTCCAATGTGTCCACTTCCTTTCTGTAGTGTGCGTGTGTGTGTGGGGGTGCAAAACTGGACACAATATTCCAGATGTGGCCTCATCAGCGCCGAATAGAGGGGAGAATCACTGCCCTTGATCTGCTGGCCATGCTCCTACTAATGCAACCCAGTATGCCATTAGCCTTCTTCACACCCAGGGTGCACTGTTGGTTCATACTCACCTTATTGTCCACTGCAACCCCCAGTTTTCCTATTTTAAAAAGTGTCTCCTCTATCCTGCATTCATATAAAAGACCCACAGAAATAACTGGGGGAGCTAACCATCTCCTTGTACAACAGAAACAACAGAAGTATCTATTCCTAGAGGGGTGTCCATACACAAAGTAAGCAAACTGAAAGAAAAAAATATACTCTTTGCTCTAATCTTTTGCAGGTCCAGCAGTAAGTTGCTTCTTGCACCTGTGAACGAATATTTCTCATTGCTAAAGCAAACAGGAGAACTTCAGAGCGAAATTTGAATCTTAAAGCAGACAGACATCCCTTGAAGTGTTTAATACCTGCTCTTTCAAGGCTTTAATCTCTTCTGTTTTTGCTCTAATATCTTGCTCAAAGCTGAGTAGTTTCTGAGTAAACTCAGCATCATTCCTAGCAGCCTCCTGAGCCATCTTCTTTGTCATCACTGCAATTTCATCCTGAAGATTTGCTATCACTGTATCTTTATGTTTGGACTCGCTTTCAAGACCCACAAGACGACTGATTTCATTTTCCAGTTTTAGAATTGCTTCATCCTGAGGGCAGATTAAATTAGGACTATTATATACAGCTGAAGATGCAGTGCAGGACATGTTCCAAAAAAGGTTTTGAATTATTTCCACTAGAATTTCCTGTAAATGTTCTGTCTACAAAATACTATGCCTGACCTTTCTAGTACTATACAATATATCGTATTTTTTCTCATACAGCATGCACTCTTCCCCCCCAAAATCAGTCCCCCCAAGACTAGGATGCATGTCTTAAGCAGGGAAGCTGACTTTCGGCCAACGATTGGAAGCACCCTGGTGCAGCAGCTGTAATATCACTGTTCAAGTAGCTGAGGGAGTCAATTGACATAACGGCTCACCGCTCTTCACTCAAGAGGCATTCACAATCATCTCTCCTAAGGCAATTTTGCTATCTGCCAGCTGCTCCTGGTCTCTCCCAATATCACAGCCTCTTTAGCTGTTTAACACAGCCTCTTCAGCTCTTTTCAGAATTACAGAGCCACCCATGGACAACCAGTCTTCAGCAGTAGCTAGGGATTCAGCTTTAAGTTATGCTAGAAAGGGAAGGCGATTCAGCTGAAGTTAGGCTCTGTCCCTGCTCTATGCAAACATGACTCTGGAAAAATCATTTCTTTTCATTCCGTCTTTCAAAAAGGAGGAGTAGCTTATATTTGGGGCTGTGTTTTATGCGAGAAAACATGGTGATATTAAATAACTTTAGTAATAATTGTCAGGTACTCGTATTAGATGCTCTACATATCCTCACTCTGAAATCCGCCAGCTCCAGGACAACTCCTTTCTTTATGTGAGTAGTCCATTTGAACTCAGTTACTGTAGCTTGATGTAAGTGAAGAAAACATCACCACCACCCATTTACACATGCTATTTATATGGCATCTCTGCTTCGTTTACTTAACAACTTGTCCTGACATGTAATATGTTCCTGTTGAGATCAACAGTGCTTCTAATTACCTACCATGCAGTTATGCTTGTGTGTTACCTTTTCCTGAAGAAGTAAATCCACAGTATTTATTCTTGAGAATGGAACTCCAGTTGCTCCAGAGTGACTGTTTCCTGGTACACTTGTCAAAACTAATAATTAAAAAAGATGAAATTATAATAGGAAGGTTTTTTTGCCTTTACAATAACATAGAGTGAAGCTGTTCCAAGTATGATTAATTCATCTTTATCTATTTAGTTTATCTACAAGCTTTCTAAACTAACAATCATTTCCATATTTTATCCAATTCTTAATTTTATCCAAGCCACCACAAAAAAGAAAACAAAAAATACATTTCAACACATACTAAAACAACACTCATTGACACAAATGCACGGCATCACCAGTGAAGAATAATATAGTTTTTATATGTGAAAATTTGCCAAGCTGAGGAGTAGGTATAATGACTGCAGGTTTTTCTGAATATGCAGCATTATTTAACTATGCATCTCTCCGCTATAATGCAATGACATATGGGGTATGAATAACTATGACTATATTAACTATAACATTGTGATTATGTGCATATGGATCACTTCGGCCCTAATTCTGGTAAACATTTAAGCACAAGTTTCAATCCATCCCTATTCCTGAAAGCACTTACACATGTATTAAGCAAGTCCGATTAACTGCAGTAGAACTTAACTTTAAGTTATGCACATGCTTAAGTGCAGTCTTCAATCACAGCCTTGATGTTGGGCTAACATAATTGCAGCACTTTAGTGTCTGCAACATTTAGGAGCATTTCAATTTGGGGACTTGCCATTTTTCTAATTTTGCATATTACTACATACAAAAAAACCCCCAAGAAAAAGAAAAACCGACATCAGATGTATACAATGCTGTAGTGCAGGGGCCAGCAATCTTTTAGGAGTGGCAGGCCAAATTAGCACAGTTTGCTCCAAAGGTGAGCTGCCATCCCTTTCCCTGCTGTGTTTTTGACCCAGTCAGCACCTTCTCTGCCACTGAATTCATGTTACTGCTGATATCCTAGGTTTGCAGTTCAGATGGAATCGCTTAGTGAGTCAGGTCTAATTTGCGGGCTATTTTGCTGACCCCTGCAACAGTACATTAGAGATACTACAAAATCCCCATTACAGAACAGCACAAAATCTTGCTGGCAGGTTGGTTTATGTTGGCCAACCTTAGTTAAAACTTTAGATTCAGCTTCTTCAGTTGTAGTTGGGATTACAACTCCAGAAACCTGCTTTGGCTATGACTGTGACACTGTCTTGTTCCAAGGACAAAGGAAATCTATGCAAGGTATGACTCCATATGTAACTTTCTTGAAGTGAAAAGAACTGATAACCACAGATCAAAATGGGGTGGGAGGTAGTGGAAGGTTATTCCAACCAACAGATTATAGTTGTTGAGTGAATCACCAAAGAAAAATACAGCATGTAGTATAACTGTGCAAATTCCACCCTCACATACAAAAGCCAGAGATAATTTCATGCCAGGTAGTTGAGGCAATGAATATTTCTCATTGCTAAAGCAAACAGCAGAACTGTACTATGGACCTATTCCAATACCCACCGGAGACAATGCCAAGTCTTCTGCTGACTTCAGAGGACACTAGGTCAGGTCTGCACGCTTAATTCACCTATCATTTATTAATATAAATCGACACATCTCCACTAAGGTTAGTAGAATTATATCCCCGAGAAACTGGTTTGAGAGAAGAATTGGTCCCAGTCCCAGATTCTATTTCAATTCTATTACCGCCAGACATAAAAGAAAAATATATCACTGACAAGCCTTTGTCAGTTTTACTGTCGTATAGAAGAGCTAACGAAAGCACAAGAAATACCTTGTCTGGCTGCTGGAGGCCTATTGAATGCATCTGGAGGGCAAGAAGATGTCATCATTCTGCCCCGAGCACTTACAGGCCGTTTTCTGACAGGTGGACAGGGTGCAGTGCCATTTGCTCCGGGCACCCAACTGTTGTGAACACCAGCTGATTGCTGAGACTGGAGAAAAGGAAGCTGAGAAGGACTGGTTGAAGGGGTATAAAGTTTTGTCTCCGCAACGAACTGTAGTTGCCCAGACCATGCTGTGCGACGTTTCAGTGATGGATAGGACATCTACACGGGGTAAGAGAATGCAATATTATACAGAGAGTGAAATAAAATACTTAAGAAGAATAATTCCAATCAATGTATTTTATGTTGCAATTTTCAACTTTGACGTTTGGTTTTCATCATGCTGCACCCACTCCTCGTGGCTTCACCAAGTTGTTCTACAGCCTTGTCCAGTGTTAGCTAACCTAAATCATTGGGTCCGTCTGCCAAATTTGTCAGATCTTTGTTCAGCTAATACATAGCAGCTTTATCCAGAGTGCATGACCCATGAATCTCTCTCAGCAGTCACCCACGCTTCCAAGCAAAGGTTAATTTTACTCATCCAAACCGTGCATGAATATTTAGAATAAATACAGATGTTCCTCAGGCATTCAGACATAAACTGGTACCTTATACCATAGTGGAAACCAAACTCTAATTAACAGGGCAATCCACATGCTTAAAGTTAGGCATGTTTTGAAGTACTTGGCTGAATTAGGTCATGGCTTCCTTAATACATTTTGTGCAAGACTTTGCCATGGGCTTCATCAAAATACATACTAGTTTTCCTTTAGTTTTCACATTATTGAAAAGATTCAAGAATTCTAGCTGATTACAAAGACATGCGTTTCTTTTGTTTCAACAGGGCTGGGTTGTATCAGTCACTTCAAGGTTAAGGATCCTTCTAGGGAATCTTCTGAAGCAAAGCTGCCTACAGGAGACGTGACTTGAGATCAGATGTATCCAGCCTGAGAGCCCTTCATTTCAAATAAATGACACAGGTTAGAGGTAAGCAATCCTTAAGAATGATGGACAATCAAATCCAAGACTAAAAAGAGGCCTATGGTGCAGTGAGTGTGGTTGAAATACAATGAAAACAGCCCATGTGGTTTTGGCAGTATTCTTCCTACCGTATATCCGATTTCTAGGTCAGTATTAAACCAGAACCCACCCCTAATCCTGAGCCATCGATGTAGCTCATTTCTAGAAATGGAGGGATGTATAGCAAAGGAACAGCTGCACTCGCAATTAGTAACCATGTTGTTCAAAACATCTCTTGCTACAGGAAACCACCCAGAATTTTGCAGGGGAGAAGTATGGGGCTTTTACTCGCTGCATGGCCCATGAAATCAAGTGTTGCCATCAACACACCTCTCTCCACAGAAAGGGCAGACCATGCATCTCTTCTAGAAGTCACCCAAGTTTGTAGCAAAGGTTAGTACTGCTCCCTGTACTTTAGTATTCCTTCTATTATTATGCATTAACATTATGCTTCTTGGGCAAAGAACCGCTCTGCATGACACGACTGTACTGATTTTCCAAAAAAGGAAAAGGACTAGGTTGAAAGAATCTCTTGGCTGTGGAGTAGCTGCAGCTGGAAAAAGATACGCGCTTGGTGAATCAAACAATATTTTGTCTATTTTATTCTTTTAAATCTGTTTATCACTAAGAGTTTGCTTATCAGCTCCTCAGAGTTTAGCTTTTGCTTTCAGTTGTTGTGGAAAATAAATACCAAAAATTCTCTCGGAAGTAAGGAAATGACATAGCACAAAATGCTGAACTGTATATTTGCCCTCTTCTCAGTCTTCTTTAAATAGTCAACAGTGGAGAAAAAGGACAAGGTTCGTCCTTGAAATGCTTTACACAACACACACACATCCTAGGATATAAACAGAATACATTAAAACATTTTAAATTGACAAATACGTTTTGAAGCAAACTGTATGAAAATATTCTGGCCAATAAGAACAGTTCAGGGTTTAGTATTTTTCTTGCATGAGTTTATAACATCACACATACCTAATGCAGCAATATGAATTCAGCTCCCTGCTCTGCGTAGGTGTTTGTGATGCTCAGGTGTTACCAGGTGAAAAACGAAAAGGCTCTGAGTTTACTTTTCAAATGCATTTGTAATTTCAAGATGCTACATTTGTTCTGGTTGGGATGCTGCAATTCAACATCTTTGCCAGTTTTAATATTTGAAAAGATGTGATTAACCTTTACAATTATGGCAAAAAAGAGGTAATGGTCTAGATCGGCGGTTCTCAACCGTTTTGGACTTCAGGCACCCCTCGCTGGACTTCAATTTTAGTGAATTGAGTGGCACCCTATTCTGAAAACTCGTTTCTATATTACCGTGCTTACCTCCTTGTAGAGGAACCAGGGAATGGGGGTGGGCGATTGGCCAGGCAGGAACAAGCCTGAGCCGGTGCTTATCTGTACCTTGTGGCACCCTTCAAAGGACCTGGCAGGAGCCCAGGGTACCACAGGCTCTGGTTGAGAATCACTGTATTCAATATGCCCAGCATTAGCCTGAGTGATAGAGGCTATGGGCCCATTAACCCACTTCTGTTAACTTCTGTACTTCGACAGTATTTCTATCTTTGCAGTTTGGGAATAGCAATGTATTGTAATACTATAGTTGTCCTTATGCATTTCTCCTCAAATAAAGGAGAAAGAAAAGACCTGAATTGACATGATTGTTTTCATCCTTTTCAAAGAAGCTGCATTTCCTTGAAGAATTCAAGATGTAGGGCAATACAAATATTACTGGTTCTCATCAATTCTTTCCAACATAAATGTCCCTGAAAGTTTGGTGACCCTGCCTCACTATACCATGATGGTTTTCCAGCATTATATGTTTTAATGTCATTTTTCCTGTACCTGTGAATACTTTTTTTATACCATGAGCAAGGCTGTCTGCCTTTTGCACAGAGGACGCCGTTCCTTTTGCTGAGGTACACCAATCTCCTGCATTGTGCTATGGACATGAGTGATACTGTCGTCAAGTAAAAGAAGTAAAAATGATCCAAGTTCACTTTTGGGTTTGAAAAGGGATAAAGTTCCTTTGTATGAAAAATTTAAAATACAACTGTTTTCTACAAGCAGTTCCTTTTACCCTATAGCTTTTGAAGATGGTGGTAAAAGGGGGGTGGGGGGTCAGTTCTAAAAAAATACTACTTTAAAAAATTGAGACATTTTAAGGTTTTCCAAGGCCTGCTTCTTTTTGCACTCCAGTCAGCATTTTGGGAAGAGAATGCTTCAAGGTTTTAAATCTCCAGATGAAGAGATGAGTTTGTTCAGCAGAGGGAGCTAAAGATTTCTTATTTTCCAGGCCCCACACACAAGAGATCTGTGAGCATTTATTCCTGGCATTTTACAGGGGAGGCTCCTCCAAGCGAAACACAGCTCACCTCAAAACCAGAACCAGCTATACAAACTTGGGGAAAAAAAAGCAGATTTAAAAAAAAGCAGATGTTTAATCTATTATTGGAGTAGGGTGATCACACTAAATTTCTATTCATTAGAAACGCCCTTATATCTAGAATCAGAAGCATAGCCGGACCTAGAAGGCTCTCACCGTCCACCAGTACACTCCTAAAATCCACCCACTGGACTACTAAGAGAGCAAGCAGTACTATCAGAGAAAGGGAACATGGAGCACGCAAAGAAAAGGGCAAAAGAAAGAAGAAAGAATACAAAGTAAGGCAAGCACCAGCTCTTTGTCCTGTATTTGTATAGCACCTGGCACCACGGGGTCCCGAACCTTGACTGAGGCTCATAGACACTACTGCAATGCATAAAAGAAAGAGGAACAATTGTGAAAAAGGAGAAAGGCAACTAGATAAGTTGATAAGGGGAAAAAAAGAACAAGAAATGAAGAAATTACAAGAGTGCAGAACACAAAACAGGAAACTAATAATAGTAAAAGAATGTATCTTACGGTTTTATTTTCTTGGTACATTAACATAAGAAGTCGGGTTTAATAAAAGTAACTCAGTACATACCGAAAGTGCCTTAATTCTGCACTGTCATCTAAAGTCAGTGGGAGAACTGGCTGAGAAAGGGGGACCAAACAGATTCAGGATCTGATCATTTGGTATAGTCATATCTAATATGATCACAGAATTAGTTAACTGTCTTCTTTTGCTTTAATACACATGCAACCAAAACCTCTAGAATTCAGGACTTATTTTTGATCTCGCTTAAGTGTGTGAATCAACAAACAACATTTCTACAGGCTCCGGAGAAAAAATTCCTACCAAGTCTCAGAGCACCAGGACTTCAAATCTGGAGAAAACATTCATAAGCAGCTACCTTAAAAAGGATGAAGCAGCGATCAGTTCATTGGACATTACCTGGGGAGCGTTTTCTATCGCTAGCTCATAGGACGTTCCTCCTGAACCAAAGCGCAGAATATCTCCTGGACCCACTCTCACTGCTGCGTTCTGTATTTGGCAATCATTAACAAATGTACCGTGAAGAGAGTTGAAATCTCGAAGAACAAGACTGTTTTCTGAATCATTGAATTCAATGACTGCGTGGTGCTCTTCCACACCTGCAGACTGAAACCAAAATTAGGTGAAAAAAAGAGTTTCAACAATTTCATTGGCAGTATGAAAAAGTGGCCAGAAATATGGATCAGAATAATCAGAGTTTTAGTGAGTTCAAGTCCAGCTACTCTTGAATTAAAATCTCGTTGGCCTCAGAGGAAGTCACCCACGTCAGCTGATCATTCACGTGTGCAAAATGCGGTGTGTTCTTTTTCTGTTTTATTTAGTATATTTTGGCAAGCTTATTCTTGTGCTTTTTTCCTCATTTTTATTTTGGACTGAATTTGACCAAAACATACAAGCCAGTAGCAATAAAAATGAATGACTGGTACATCTGTTGCATACACGAAAGCGTGCTAACTATGAAGTAACAGATGAAGAACTTTCCCCTGCTTGGTGTAATTGCTTTCTGTGGCATGTCAGTTCAGACCTAATACAGTGCGCCCTCATCAAGATTTATAATGAATTTTATGCACGTACCTTCAAAACAATGTCTGAATTTTCATGTCTTCCTATAGTCGTTCCTTTTGATTTCAGCATAAAAACACCATCTGGACTTTTTAAAAAGGCTCTCATTGTCTCTCCTTTTTATCTGTAAGGCTTCAGTTTTAAAAACTCATTAAGTGAGGATTACTTGGAACACTGTTACAATTACTTATGTCAAAACACCTTGAATGGCTCTAATGAACAGTATCAACTAACACAGAAAACAACCTCATCATTTATTTAAAGGGATTAAAATAACCACTGCATTGTCGAAAAGGCATTTCGTGACAGCCTAACAGAAGTTGGCATCTGTCTTTCGCTAACATTCAAATCTAACCCTATTACTGAATTACTTTTAGCTATTTCATTTAGTCGCCTGCCTTTCATATTGGTTCATTCTATCCCAATAATACGGGTAGGCTGGCCAAGTACCCTTTCTTGTTTGCTACCTAGCATAACATTGCAATATTTGCATGTCAGGCACTCAGTGAAAATGTTTAGAAACCACCAAACAAGCGTTTCAAACGATCTCTGAAGAACGCCATTAAAAGGCGCGGGTGTCCTCTGTTGCAAATGTGTTTGTCCCATTTGCAGCCTAGCCTAGAAAACGGCGTCGCTTTGAGACGTCGAACCTTCCTGGCCGAGTAGAAACGTACCTATAGCTGGCAGAATCGGTCTTCTATGTAGCTGGCATCGTATAAACGACGCTGACTTTCAACAGTCAGATCAGCTGATAAATCCTAATTCGGTGTCTGACCTTCGGCTCTTACCCCGGAAGTGGTTTCCACACAAGGCTCACATTCTTGTTTTACATTTATTTTGGAAATCTCTCACGGTTCAGTTGCAGCACGCTGCCAATATTTTAACCAAGGGCTCTTACAAACATCTGCCTGCGCCGCCTATGACAAATCGCATGTCCAAAAGCACTGCAGAAACTATGTATTTATGTATCTATTTATTTATTTTGGGGCTGTGGGGATAAAAATACCATAACGGAGGCCAAGAAGGAATAACTATTGTGGGGTGGAAAAAAGAAGCAGCTACACTTCACTGGAAACACAGGCAGCATGGTGCTTAAAAACGTTGCTGGTGCAACAGGTTGGCTTGTTTCAGTTGAAGAAGGGCGTGAAAAAAAATTAAAGCACCGACTGTGCGACTCGCATGCATTGGTGTGGTCACAGACCCACTGCTGGAAAGAGGTGATTGGGGAGCTTATAGGCTCTCTTGTCGCATATGAAGCTGCAGGGAAGCGGGAAGGAAACTCCGGACAAAGAAACCAAGTGCATGGTCCATAGGAGAAGAGGGCGACTTGTGCAGGCCACAGTGGCAGCCCCTCCGGGCGGCCTGCTATGGATGCCATGAGCTACATGGCAGTGCCAAGGGGCCTGATTTAAT